CACATTGGGGGTTAGGTTTTAACATATAAATTTGGGGGGGGGGACACATTCAGTCTTTAGCAATAGGTAAATCTCGTATTTACATGTGCAACTAATGTAAACATTTGAAAAACACTGCAGGCTTAACAAAAATGTCTGGAATTTTGATTTAGTCATTACTGCAGTTTGTAACTGCTCTCATCTGAATCTAACTACAATTCTATGAAGCAGGCAGAGGGGGTATTCTTTTTGTACAAACAAGGAAGCTGAGGTTCAGAAATTACTCTTCAACAGTTTATCAACTGCCTGTCCCACTAGGATGTAAGCTTCCTGAAGGCAGGGCCATTCTTCATTTTCTTCACTGCTCTAAGCCCTGCTCCCAGAATAGTTTCTGGTATATATTGGACACACAATAAATATTTATCGAATTAATGAGTGATGAATAAGTGGAAACAGGTTAAGTCATGTGGCAAGTAATATCTATGTTTTTGTGCCAGACACTCCTCATGTTTTATCTCATATTAATCCACACAACATTCTGTGAAAATAATATTATCCCCATTATATAGATGAGTCAGCTGAGTCTCAGAGAGGTAAAGTAAGTTGCCTGAGTTCATGTAACTTATAAGAAAGAGAATCAGGACCAGGAAGGACCCAGATCTTCTTCGATTGCTAGCTCTTTTCACTATGCTGCCACTCTGCCACCGTCATCATAACTATCTCCCACCACATCCTCCCAAATACTGGCATTTTATTCTGTAGACCAGTGCTTCACATCTCTCTTGAACAGCGATCTGCACACTTCCTCTATAAAAGGCCAGCTAGTAAATATTTTAGGCTTTGCAAGCCATATGTTCTCTGTTGCAACTATTCAGTTGGCATTGTAGCATGAAAGCAAAGACAAAACGCAAATAAAGGGATGTGATTGTGTGCTAATAAAATGTTGTTTACTAAAAGAGGCAGCAGACCCAATTTTGCTTAAGGGCTGTAGTTTGCTGACCCCTGCCCAATAAAACAGACAAATTACCTTATTAAAAAGGTAAAAAGCCAGCTAAGTTGCTAGTCCACTGTATAGACATTTAAATTCTTTCGTAGTTCTTTGGCTTTACTTTGTATTTCATGGAAATGTTTGCTGTATACATCTAAATTACCCTGAGGTTGCAGTGGTGTGCTAGTAAATGTTTAACCACTGGCTCTCTCACAGGATATAAAAACCTTTGATGTGTAGTTTACCAATATATGACTTCTGTGGTATGGACATTCTCACCATAGCCAATTTCAAGCCACCAATATGACGTCACTGAACATGGCATGCGGGGATAAGATGCAGTAGGGGCCGACTCCAGCACACCACTGTCTGAAGGCATTTATCCTTTGCATTCTTTTGGCAGAAGTTACAGAAATTTCAACTAGTTCCAACAATAAGTAAAATGTATTGTGGCACCTAATAAGCTAGATAGAGTGGCTCCAGAATTGGTTAATTTAGTGGCTTAGTGACATCATTAAGGTTCCATGTACTTTTTGTCTTTCTGCTGTGCTGTCCTTGACTTATTGACTTTGTCCTCAGGCTAGCTTCCTTCACGGTTGAGAGGTGACTGCTTAGTTCCAGGTATCATATCTAGCTTCAAAATGTCTACGAGAAGAAGAGAGGCTTGTTTCTTTCCTGTGTCTTTTCTTAAGAGTAAGGAAACATTTCCCAAAGGACTTCCCCTCATTGCTCGTTGGCTAGAATTACTTCACATCCTTTCCCTCATCACTCGCTGACCAGGGAAAGGGAGACCAATTAAAACCCATTCTCTGAAACAATGGATTGGGCCAGACTTCCCTGAAGCAAGTGTCTCTTGGAAAGAGAGCAGATAGAGTAGATACCTGAACAAAACCAGGGTATGATAGAATAGAGGAAGGGGTGAACTATGGAACTGGGGTAGGCAACCAGCTCTGTCTGCTACGGTAGGTTCTATATATTAAAGCTAAAATACAAATATGTTAGATCTTTTAAATGAGTTTTTCTCTGAGTGTTTAATTTTGGGGAAGAAAGTAGTTGACTATTAAAAGTACTTACCCATGACACAAAGTTATGTTTTGGAGGGACTGATCCTTAAGCTCCAGAGTGTTGGAGATTCCTTTGGAAGGTTAGTTTTGCTTTGAAATCAGAGATAATTCCATGGCTGATCAAGTCAGTGACATATAGGCGTGTCTCAGAAGAATGTCAATGGTACCGTTTAAAGAACGGCATTTCTAGCTGCATCAGGTTGCAATTAATGTCGTTGTACTGGTGTGCCATTAGCAAGATTATATATGCATGATTAGACAAAAGGTATAGGAATTTATACCGAGGAAGAAGGAAATGTAGTGGAAGTAGTGTAGGGCATTCACTAGGAAAAGTGGTCTTGCAATAAGATCAAGGTTTATATCTCATTTCTACTGCTTGGGAGTGTTAATAATATTTGATAAAATTACTGAATCTCTCTAGTTTGAGTTGCTATATCTGTAAAATAGGGATAATAATAACTACCTTCTATAGTTGTTATAAATATTAAATGAGATACTGTCTATGACACTGCTTAATAGCAGCATGGCCTATGGCAAGCGCTCTGTAAAAGTAGCTCGGTATTGTTGTTTACACAGCGCAGACACCAGTGTTTTGGCTGTTACTCAGTCCCTAGGCCAATGATTACAATATTATCATTTCAAGTAATAATTTTGATTTTTCCTAAATCAGTAGGCTTAACATTTATACCAGTACTGGTCTTCTAATACTTTTGATGGATTTGTACTCTTCCTTTGTTCGCTTCATCTCCTTCGTCTGTCTCCCCACACTCAGGAGGTGGCAATGAGATGAAGAGGGGGGGCCCAAGTCTTGAAAGCGAGAGAACCTAATGGTCTTTATGGGAATCGCTCTTGTTGCCTTGGCCTCGCTATCTTTGCTCTGTATTTGGTCTCGAAACTCACAGGCTGCCAATTTGTTCCCATGACTTCAAAGATGCATACCTGCAAAATTCTACTGTGAGCTATTTTCTTGAGAAAGTTTGGGTTTTAAAGTAAATTTTTTTTCACTAGACAATTTGGTTTGCTCAGTTTGGTTAAGCAGAGGGTACATACCCTATATTCACCAAATAATGCACCCTTTGTCATATTTGAAATGATGTTTCATTTAATTAATATTACTTAAAATTTCTTCTAGTGAGCATAATAAAATTGTACTAACCACTGAGTGATTTGCTCAATCCAGTGGAAAAAGCATCTGTCAAAACTCTTATTTGGTCTCTTAAAAAATTCATTCCTTACTGTACCTAAGAAGCCTGTTTGACATACCAAAGAATATCTTAAGAAACATTTTATCTGACACTGTCTGTGGGGCCAGAATCCAGGCACAGCTTAGCTGGGTTCTTGGCTCAGGGTCTCACAAAGCTGCCATCAAAGTGTCATGCAGGCTGTGTTCTCAACTGGAGGCTCAACGCGGGAAAAATCTGTTTCCAAGCTCAAGATGGGCTGTTGGCAGAATTCATTTCCTTTCTGCTGTAGGACTGAGAGCTTTAGCTTTTTGCTGTCATCTGGAGGCTGTCCTCAGCTCCTACAGGCTACTGCAATTCCCTGCCACATGGTCTTATCGATAGGCAGTGTACACCATAGCAGCTTGCTTCTTCAAGGCCAGCAGGACCGTGAGGGTGAGTCTGCTAGTAAGAGTCTAGCGAGTCTTACATAGCATGACATAATCATGGAAGTCATGTCCCATCACCTGAGCCATGTTCTAGTTAGAAGCAAGTCACAGATCCTACCTACACTCAAGAGGAGGGATTACACAAAGACAAGATCAACAGGGGGCAGGACTATAGTGGGCACCTTAGAGTCTGTCCACCACAAAGAGCTGTGTGTGGTTTGCTGACCACAGAAACCCCAGTTCCTTGAAATAGTGCCTAACACAGATTAGACACTAAGTGTTGGGAGTTGAATAGATTAATGTTGCAGATACTACTTCTTTGAATCATGTTTTGCTAATGTTTTTTTCCAAGTCTATGGTTTACCTTTTTGATGTATGGAAATGTAAAATTTCCCCTTGGTTTGTTACATTACTATACATCTTAAGGAGTCCTTCTCTTATCTAGAGATCAGATATATATTTGCCTATATTTTCACCTTGATTTTTAATGATTTCTTTTTTTACATTTAACTTGGATATAGCGAGAAGGCCAAGAACTAAATGGAGACTTGTGACATGATGTAGTGAGTAATCCTTTATCCTCCACCAATCTTTGCTACCTTATTTAGTCATACTGAATTATTATGTACTAGCTTCTGAGCTCTCCATTCTGTATCATTTATTTGTTGTTCTCTTCTTGCTTCAATTACACATTTTAAAAATTATAGTATTATTAGTCAGAAATGCCAAAGAAGTTACTGTCAGACTCATTCAGTATAATAATTAGGACATGGTCTAAGCTGTCGTAACAGAGAGACTCCAAAATACAGAGGCTGAAATAAAATTGAACCTTACTTATCTTTCCTGTAACAGTGAGAGGTATGTGAAGTCCTGAGCTGGAGAGGCAGCCGTTCACCAGAGTCATCTGGGAACCCAGACTACTTCTACTCTGTAGTTCTGCCAGCCTCTGGGGCGATGTCCTGGTCTGTGGCTGAAGCTGTCTCATCTCCACATCCATGTACCAGTCTGTGGGAAGGAGGATGATGGGAGTCCTGGGAAAGTGCCTTTGCCTTTGAGCTGATGAACCAGAAGTGGCACATATTACTTTTTCTTGTGTCCCTTTTATCCCTTTTATTGCCACACCCACCTTCAAGAAAAGGCAAAGGAAAATGTTATCAAACTCCGTGCATGTGGATTTGGCTAAAATTTGAGAGGATCTATTATTAAAAAGAAGGACAACTAATGGTCTTTGCCCCAGTCCAGTATTCATAGGTACAAAGAATCATATTTAACAGGAAAGTATTAACCATTTTTGCCAAGTGAAAAATAAACTTTTGGATATAGCAATAAAATACAAATATGTTCTGATTTTTGGTTTTAGATGGCCAGTAACCCATGTGCCAGGTAGCATTCTATGCCCATCTTGAATGCCAACAGGAAGTCACTGGACAGCAAACTCTTCCAAGATCATAACTGGGCTGTTGGAGTAACTTGGAACAGAAGAAAAAAGAATCAAAACCATGGCAAAAGCAAAGAGAGCTCGGTCTACCGCTCCTCCGGATGGAGGCTGGGGCTGGATGATTGTTGTTGGCTGTTTCCTTGTTACCATCTGCACCCGGGCAGTAACCAGGTAGGTGGGATTTTCTTCTTGATTCATCAAGATTAACTGGTTTGTCTTTTTTTTTAAGTCCACTTCATTCCATTTCTCAACCTGTTATTGTGAAAATATGTGTGTATATGTATGTTTGTGTGTGTATGTTTGACTGTTCAGTTATCTTTTTCTTTGCAAGGAATGTGATTTTCTGACACTTAAAAGTCCTGGATAGTGATCTCTTCTATAATATCTGACACATAAACCTGAAATATTAGGACATTTTTAGACTAAATAGTATGGCTCTTCCAGCCATTTTTTTTCGTAAGCTGCTTATCCTAGAAGGAAAAACATATAAGGTCAAAATAGTCTTTGAAAATCTATGACTTACCAGATACTGAGCTATTGGAAGCTTAAAACCCAGAATTTAAATTCTTTTGCTTCATTTTGCATTTGGCTGTGGTGGTGGAGGCTGAGTTCTAGGTTGAGGGAGAGCAACAGCATGAATATAGGGATTCTCATTTCTCACTTGCTCACATCTCCTTCTCTCTCTTTTTCTTTTATCCAAGGGCATAGTGTTGAACATGCTTCAGTTAAACGTGCCTACATTGAGATCCATTCATTTCATTTATATTTGGAATAAATACCTACTTGAAATCTGCATGTGCTAGCACTTTCCTCTCCAGCTGCTTTCATTCAGTTCAACTCTTTGTTGCTTTTCTTTGGCAACACACCCTTGGCAGCAAAAGAAAGTAATTTCCACTAATAACTTTATTTGTGGGCCAGTTCCGTGGCTGAGTGGTTAAGTTCGTGTGCTCCACTTTGGTGGCCCAGGGTTGACCAGTTCAGATCCTGGGTGTGGACATATGCACTGCTCATCAAGCCATGCTGTGGCAGCATCCCACATAGAAGAACTAGAATGACTTACAACTAGGGTATACAACGATGTGCTGAGGCTTTAGGGAGAAAAAAAAATAGAGGAATATTGGCAGCAGATATTAGCTCAGGGTTGATCTTTCTCACCAAAAAAAAAAAGGGGATTGACTTCAGAATTATTTAAAAAAATAACTTTATTTGATGACATCATGAATACAAGCATTGAGGTTCCCCTCATAACAAATATATAATGCAGGAAAGAAGCAGGATGTTTCCTTTTGCTACAATAAGGGTTAGTTGATCATGTGTCATAATAAACTGTAGATTTGTTTTAAACAATATGATTGATGTTGAGTGTGATATTTCTTCCATCTATGTTATGAATCTTGTGTTCTGGGTGTGAGGAGGTCATAGAGTTAAAAGGAATCTCTTTCATCTTGGTTCTTAGGTATGGATTCCATCATTCCCATGACAGGAAAGTTCTGGAAGTGAGCTTAGTGCTTTATAAGAGGAGCTGCTGGAAATCAGAAAAGAGGGTTGTGCCTGGCAGCAAAGGCCTGTTATCAGAGGTTACTTGGAGAGGCTGAGAGGAAGATTGGCTGTTGTTAGTGCCATCACAGTTGATTCTGACTGTACAGCAGAGCAGAACGATGCCCGGTGTTTTTTTGTTCCCCATCCTCTCACTTTCCAATGCTATATCAGACAATGCTATACTGCTATTCATAGGGTTTTCTTAGCCAATTTTTTCAGAATCGAGTGGCCAGGTCCTTCTTCCTAGTCTGTCTTAGTCTGGAAGCTCTGCTGAAACCTCTCCACCACGTGTGATCGTGCTGGTATTTGAAATACTGGTGGCATAGCTTTCAGCATCACAGCAACATGCAGCCGCCACAGTGACAGCTGGCAGATGGGTGGTATGGTTCCCTGACAGGGAAACGAACCCAGGCCAAGGTGGTGAGAGTGCCAAATCTTTACCACTAGACCACCAGGGTTGGCACACATAGCTCTACCTCACTGGAAAATAGCTGCTTAACATCCCACTATACAGGTGTGTTCATAATTTATTTAATACATTTTTATTGATGGACATTTATGTTGTTTCCTGGTTTTTGCTTTACAAGCAATGTTACAATTATGACCCAGGCCATTTTAAAATCATATTTCAGCTCTTGCCTTGTATCTGATGATGCTGCCTTACGCATAAAATTTACGTAAAGCTTAAAGTTGTGCAGGCTATTAAACCAGTCATTCTTATTTATTTACTCCTTCTGCTTGTTAATGTGCGTTGATTGCTTATTTTTTCTTCGAAACATCTTATTACCAAACACATTGTCTATGTTAAGAATCATATTTCACTGTGTAATTGCATGACATTCTATCAGTAAATTGACAACTTGATTCGGAGTTGATACTTGGAAAGCAACATTTGATTTAAGTGTTCAAAGAAAACCTCCAGCTCTGAGATCTATTTTTTTCTAAATCCTCTGGATCCAAATTAACTTAGTTGCAATGGATGTCTGGAGTCCTCTGGAATTGTGGAGCTCTTTTAAACACAGATTATTCCTATAAATAATTGCTAATGTTAGCTGAGCACTGACTCTGTGCTTGTTGGCATTGTTCCAAGCACTTTTCATTGATTAAGTCATTTAACCTTATAACAACGCACAGAGGTTGAATAACGTGTCCAGGGTCACAGGGTTAGTAAGTGGCAGTGCTTTTAACCACTAGGCTACACTGCCTAGTGGGTCATTCCTGTGTTTACTTAGTGGATAACTTCATCAACCAGAAAAAAATCTTTACCAGGTACCAGATGTTGTCAGCATCCTGCTTTACAGGGCCAGAGAAGAATCTAGAGCAGAGTGGCAAGATGGAGATAGGAAACATGTTGGTCCTTTGAGTAAAAGTATCCTTGAGAACCTTATTTCATAACAGACGACACTTGGGTGATACTAAGAACAGAGCCTATCAGCCCCTGAAGGACGTGAGGAGTTGTTTGCTACTGCACCATGATCTAATCCATTCTAACTAGTACAGTCATGCTTACCAAAATGCTTAGGTTTTAGATGAGGAAACCAAGACCCTGAGAGATTAAGCAGCTTTATCAAAACTCTCAGTTACTCAGCATGAGAATCAGAGATTAGACCCAGCTCTCCTAACATCTGTAAGATGCACAAATATTCCAAAGGACAACAAAAATAATTTCTGGAGTGAGAAGCACGTGTTCCCAGTAAGATTTATTTTCTTTAAGTTGCACCTCTGTTTAGAAGGCATAAATCATGAAACTTTACCATTTGAGAAGTTTTATGGTATTTTTCCCTTTTGAGAACTAATAAGTGATACAATAATTCTTCTCATATTTCATGAAAGTCGTAGTCATTCAGAAGCTTGTATGTGGTTATTAAATTTTACCTCTGGCAAGTCTACTCACATGTCTAGGCAAGAGTCTTGGGTGTTATTTTTGAATTTTATGTATCTAAAGGTTGACTGATATGACTAGGTCGGTCAGTTAGGAAAACCGTTAAGTAGAAAACAAAACAACAGCAAAACAAGATAACAAAAAAAGTCGCAAGAGGCAAACATAATCACACAAATATTAGATCTCTCAAAATGATTTGGTGAAGAGAAGAGAAGAGATTATCATTTACAATTCCAAAATACCTTCTCATCTGGGACACTTTTCTCTTAGATGTCCTGTGTTCTTCCACAACTCCACCTTTTGCATCTCCCTCTTAATAATTCTTTCTCTTAGCTTATAAACTCAAATTCTTCATGCCTCTGCCTTATCTAGCCACATGTTTCTATGCAGCCCCCATTTAATCTGCTCTTCCCTTTCTCATTCCTGTTCTTGAAGTTGCTCCTCAACCATTCTCAGTTCTTTATCTGCCAGTCACTTCTCTACCAACTCTAATCCTTCCTTCCTTCCATACCTTGAACCTTGAACACTATTTAATGAGCACCCAGTACATGAAAGGTACAGTACTAGATATTTAGGATTCAGTGCAAGATAAGACAGACATGGTCTTTGCTGTCACAGAGCAACAGTCTAGTGGAGAATACAAACAAATGCAAAGGGAATTGCCATACCATATGGTAAGCAGCCAGCATGTAGTAGAAACACTCAAGAGAAATATCATGCCCAGACTCAGGTAGTCAGGGAAGCCTTCCTTGAGGAGTTGACTATTATCTTGAGACGAAAGGAATGAGGGAGGCTGAGAAAGCATTCTACAAAAGAAAAAAATTTTAATGTTCAGAGGTGTGAAAAAGCGTGGGTGGGGTGTTGAAACTAGTAGAAATAAGTTCAGTCTGACTGAAGGAAGAATGTACCAGATGGGAGGTAAGGAGAGACCCTAAGAAGGGCCAGCTCAGGCAGGGTTTCATCAGTCATGTTAAAATTTTGAAGCATCAGAATCTGATTTGTGTTGTACTAAGGTCACTCTGACCACTGAGTGAAGGATGTACTGAGGGCAGCGAAGTGTGTTTTCGGGAAGATCAGTCAGGAGGGTTTTGGCTGCAGTCCAGGAGAGAGGTATTGGCATGAATGATGAATGATAAGGGGGATGGAGATATCTGGAGACATTTGAGAGAGACAGATGAGGTAGAATAAGTAGAATTTGATAATTGATTAGATCAGTGGTTCTCAACTAGGCTGGTTTTGATCTCCAGGGGGACATTTGGCAATGTCTGGAAACATTTTGAGTAAAGGCCAGAGATGCTGCTAAACAAACATCCTACAATGGCCGGGATGACCCCCACAGCAAAGAATTATCTGGCCCAAAATATCAATATTTTGATGGAGAAACCCTGGCCCAAGGATAACTTAGTTTTGATAATGAGGCTATATCCAAGAAATCATTATTCACTTAAATTGAAGGCCTAGTGGTTAGGAGAAAATAATAGACTTTTTTTTACTGCTAGTCTAGCAGTCTTTAGGGTGTTAAGAAATAGCATAGAGTTTTTTCTTCTTGCACTGAATTAAAACTAGTGTAAGGCTGTTGAGGTTTATTTATGCTTTTAAAAAAGTTGTGCAATATTTTAATTAAATTTGAATTTATATAATCAGCCAGGTAGTTTATGTTACCATTCTCTGTATTAGTTGTGACTATTTTTCAGTACTCCAAACTCTGACAGAATAATTAGGCTAGCATCAGATCTATTGCGGCATGTTGTCTGATTTCTTAAATCAGTGGATGAAGAAGGACCACTTTTTATATCCCTTTGACAGAGATCATTCAACAGTGCTCAGCGTGGAGAACAAGAACTGGACTGTGGTGAACATGGAGACATGCCATTCAGATGGCCTAAGCAGCAGAGTGTACATAAGCAGATGTCCCGGCTGTCAGTCCGCAGGGTCCCTTCACCTGTGGCAAGCCACCTCTCCCAAGAGCACACCCTTCCAGGGGCACCCACATCCAATGATTGCTTGAGGGACATATGTAATGGCCAGACCATTTCATTTGGGATTGGTGAAGGATTTGTCAGGCCTCTCTCTGCCTGGTATTGCTTCTGTCCCCTTCCTTCCACAAGTGTTGATCCCTACTCAACACTCTGCTCATCAAATTCCATCCCTGCATCTGCTGGGACTTAGAATTTAGCCTTTCATACTGTCCCTTTTCTCTTTCCTGTCACCAAGACTAACAACATAATTGTGGGGCCCAGTGCAAAATGAAAATGCTGGACCCCTTGTTCAAAAGGCAGGAAAAAAAGTGCTGTTAAAAGTACTAAAATAGGGGCAGCCCAGTGGCATAGTGGTTATGTTCACATGCACTGCTTTGGCAGCCCGGGGTTTGCAGATTTGGATTCTGGGTGTGGACCTACACACCACTCTTCAAGCCATGCTGTGGTGGCCCCCCTCATACAACATAGAGAAAGATTGGCACAGATGTTAGCTCAGTGACCATCTTCCTCAAGCAAAAAGAGGATGATTGGCAACAGATGTTAGTGCAGGGCCAGTCTTCCTTACCAAAAAAAGAATAAGTCCTAAAATAGAAACTTCCTTTCTTCAGCAGTCTATCTTGATTTTTCATAGTGTTTTTAATTTGCTATTTAGTGTTGTTCTAAGTAAAAAAATGTTGTTACTAGCACAAGTTTACCAGTGATCTTTATGTTACAGGTAGCCCTATCTTTCCCTTTCCTTCTGTGTCACCATTTTCAGCATAATACAGAGAAGTGACGTGAGGATAGGCTATGATAGGAATATGAAAGGATATGATAGGAATCCTTGGTCATTTGTGTCTCTTAGCACACCACTTCTGTCGTTCTGCATTTGCAGCAAGTTTTGGTTTGAAAGGAAAGTGTGGCCTCTGTTGGGAGGGAGATCCTGCATTACCCCTTCCCCTAGCTTACTCAGTTATAGATGTAACACACTTGCTTTGTACTCACTCTTACTGAACTCCCACATGTCATGAATCTACTGGAATTCTGTGCTCATGGGACATCTCTAACACTGCATGCAAATGGAAAGGCAAAGAATCACAGACACACAGATTGCGTGTATCTCCTTTGCTCACAGGCATGCTCCTTTTGTCCTGCTGGACTTCACTTACAACACGCAAATTCAAAATAAAATTATTAGGAATTTTAAGACAGTGACAACTGAGTTAAACCAAGTCTTATGCTTCTGAGTGCCAGATTCCGTGCGACTGTATAGGTTGCACGCCCTTAAAGCTGGACCTGCCTAATACAACTGTCCTGATTAAATCTGATTCTCTTCTCTCTTCTTTGATTTCTCCATCACCCACCTTCACATCCAGCAATACCTGGAAAGGAGAGGGAGAGTTAAATACCAGGGTACTATGGGCTGCGGGAGCATGTGAATTGAAATGTAGCCCTATGCAAAGAGACTGATAACCTCCTATCTCATCCCCAGGCCACAGGCCTGATTTCTTTCCCTGCTCTCACTGAGCTCTGAAAGCTTCCTGTCCTGAGTTAGGACACCATGCTGATCTGTATGAGGTCCATTCCAAGTTGTACAGTGATACAAACTGTTGCTTCTGGATCACTTATGTCTTCTTTTTCCTAAGTAATTAACTATTTTTCAACATAAAAATTTCTCTGTTTGTCTCCTTCTCTGTTTCTGTATGCCCCCCCCATATATATGTATACACACACACACACACCTACACACACATGCATTTCTGATTGCATAAGAAATCATGTTCATTGTAAAATAATTCAAAATGCAGAATAAAGACAAAAAAATGAAATAATTTTTAATCTCATCATTCATGTATAATAACTGGGTACATTTTGGTTTATATGCTTTCAGGCTTTTTTTATTTACATGAACTATGTTTTTATAAAGTAAGCCCTTACTATATGAACTATTTTGTAGCTTATTTTTTTGCTTAACATTATATTGTGAATTTATTTCCAAACCAATAAACACAAACTGAGTAATCATTTTTAATACCTAATAATATGTCATTTTATTGATATGTCCTAATTTATTTAACTAGTCCCTTATTGATAGACAAATAGGTTGGTTACAATATTTGGCTATTATAAATAGTACTCCAGAATGTATCCTTATATGTATATCTATTGTTATTATTATCGTCATCATTGTCTGTTTAATGCCTTTGGCTAAAACTTAGAAGTGAAACTGCTGGGTGATGTATAACTCTTTATTCTCAAATTTTAACTTATATAACAACCTCTTAGACGTTACAGATGTTAGTGAAATATTAAGATAAATAAGAATCCATGTTTTTGACCCACCATCTTTGCCATAAAACTGTCCCTACTGCAGTGATCTCCACATCGACTTGGTGGCAGCAGCCCAACTAGTGGAAAACACTTGTTCTTATCCTTTAGAATAACCCAATCGTCAGCTTCTGATTTCCCACTTACTATGGTCCAGCAGTGTACCACTGAAAACCAATGGAGACTGGAACAGCTGACTGAACCAAAACTTTAACCTCTGATTCAAATCCATGTTCATTCATTCTTTTTGTACGACATGCTTGCACTGTATTTTTCAGATGTATTTCAATTTTTTTTGTGGAGTTCCAGACATACTTTACTCAGGATTATGCACAAACAGCGTGGATCCATTCCATTGTAGACTGTATGACCATGCTCTGTGGTGAGTATCACTTATCAGGGATAGACAATTACTGGCTACTCTTGAACTGTACATGACAGTGACCTTCCACTGCCTTTGATTACCAGTTTTTCTAAGTAGAAGGATATGGTAAAAATTGGCCAAGACTATATAGAAAGAAAAGAGCAATCCTACCTTCAGCCAAACCCAACGAGATGTGTTCTTGGAATTAATAATCTTGGCTGAAGTCAGATGGAACAGGTAGTTAATACACTCAAAATGGCACATAACATTTGGTTCTTGCATATAGGGATAGGATGCTGGGCATCAGAGGATGTGTCCTGATTTTGGAAGCAGTTAACTATACAGGATGTGCTTGGCTTCTTTCTTCTGAATGCTGTGGTCCCCTTATTCTCCAGTCATGTAAACAGTCATTGTACAGCACCGTGAGCCATTTCTATATGATCTCTTTAAATGAGTGCCAACAATATGTGCATTGCATCTCAAGTCTTGTTTTCATTCTGTTCTCTTCCCAGAGGGTTCAGAATTTGGCTCATGGATTTAATTGTTTTTCATGCATAAATCTTCATTCTTAGAGAAGTATTGGGGAAGGATAGGATGGTGCAATCACGAGATAAGCACATTTCACCGTGGCTATAATGTCATTCAAGAAACTCTAACGGTGCTATATAGGGTATAAAGAATGTTCTCAAAATTCAGGGAATGTCTCATTCCATCTATATAGTAGAGGAAACTAAACTTGAGATTTTTCTTTCTATAAATCTCAAACAGAAGTTATTAAATTAGTGTCTTAGAGAGTTTCTGAGACTGAGTCTAACTGAAATGCTCCTTTCGCTTAGATGAATCCTGAGTATTTTAGAAAACTATTATCTTCTTAGGCCATGTCTTGGTGGCAAAAGGGAAATATTTAGTATATTATGTAGTAACTCATAAATAATGTCATCTGATTCCATTCTAGGTACTGATTCGTACTTATTTTTTAGAAAAAAATGTACATACTCAGCAATCAGTTGAATTGTGCTGAAATGTATTACCTTGGTTGAGAGGAATTTGAGAGCAATTCTAGGACTAAAAGCAGGTTTCATGAGAAGGCTAAGTTGACTCTTCCTATGGGTAACACTGGAAGGTTGTAAGGGATTTTTCTTTTTTTCTCCAGTAGGACAATCACTTGGTGTTCAGGGTCACATGATTAGTCACAGCCTTTTATATGAGCCCTCCAAGAGAGCCACGTCTGTCTTTCTCAGAGGCTATAGGTGGCTCATGTCCCTCACTGCTATCTTCTGGAGAATATTTATAATCCCCCAAAGAGGGAGAAATGGCCTTCACTGAGCAATATGGTCACAATGATCATGTGAGCCATTGAGCTAAAGCAGGGTTGTCTTAGATGCAGCATATTTAAATTCCATGCAAGGGCTTGAAGCCTGTTGTACCCAATTACCACAGACCCACTCTCTCAGCTGGCAACGTTAATTGAGTTCAGAGTACGGACAAGAGGCTGCAGAATCACATCTAGGACACCCACTGGGGACATAACTGCCCTATGATGAACAGAGAAGTGAACATTTTTCATTGAGTTTGGTGTAAATTTTGTCACTTTCCAATAACCAAGCAGCAGCAGCCTGGAGAATTAGATACATTTTCAGGAGGTTTGTTCATTGCTATTATCTAGCGGTTATAGACACAGCCAGCCACTGTTTTAACTACACAGGAGACATCAGGCTGATGATTGATTCTATTATGTACATTTGAGTCAGGCCCCAATTTCAACCTGATCAATACAAAAAATTATACTTAACGGATACCCAGAGAATTGGCTCTTCTGATCTAGTTACTAAGAGTACTGATGCCAGCATTAATTGTTCCTTAGAAAGAAATTGACATGCTTTCCCCATCCATCACCCCTGCCATAACTCTGGGAGACCCGAGGAGCCAGAGTAACAGGGTAAAGTAACCCAGCACTGGGTGTCAGGTGCCCTGAGCTATACTTCTTGGTGATCTTGGGTATGTCATATTCGCCTGAACTTAATTCTCCTTGGCCTCTTTCAGCTTTAATTAATATTTTATAAACCTGGAAGTTGGCACAATTCTGACACATTGTTAAACCACAAATAGAGTGAGGCCAACCAAAATGTCACCATGGGTGTGAAGCATTTTTCTGGACTTTTTGGGCTTTGATTTCTCATCCACAGGGTTTCCTAAAGCCTGAAAGCGGAGGCAGATTGCAGAATTTGTCTATGATCTATCTCCCTGGCCTTTTCCTGCATAACACTGCTAGTTACACAGTGTTGCCCACTCTCCTTCTCCACCATTTGACTGTCATACTTATTGCTAAAGTGCATGATCAATACTATACGAAACATACAAGGCACATCTCTGTGCAAGTGACAAGTAGTTTAAATAAGGAGTTGATTGACTGTTTAAAATATGCCCCATTGTCCTGGGATTATGACTCTAATAGAATGGAGAAGTGCAATGAGCACTGAAATATACAAGTCAGGAGACTTGATCCTAATTCCAGCTTTGCTATTTGTTCTCTTTGTGACCATGGACAATCATTTCCTCTCTCCTCAGTTTCCAAATCTGTAGAATGAGCGGGGTGGGCTCAGTGCTTTAAAAGTCATTCATTCTCTGCTCTGCCAATGCAACAACACAGCGTTTTCACAGTGACCTCAAGGTCTTTCTGTTGAACCTATTTATTATTGTTTTTGAAGCTCCTCTTGGGAGTGTTGTCAGTAACCATTTATCCTGTCAAGTGGGAATCATGCTGGGTGGCTTGCTTGCATCTACTGGTCTCATCCTGGGCTCATTTGCCACCAGTCTGAAGCATCTCTACCTCACTCTGGGAGTTGTTACAGGTAAGGGCACTTTGTACCACTCGTCTCACCCCCACCCTATTTAGGGGCTGTCAAGTACATTAACAGAACAATAATTCATAAAATATTCATTTTGTTAGATGCATAATTTAGCTGACCTAGCTTTTGTCTGCCTCCCTAGCAGTTAAACAAAACAGCTTGAAATGCAATTGATTGTACTACTGTAATGAAAATGCATCACCACTTTAACTCACCCACATGACAAAAGTAACTGCTGGGTTTCGCTTGGGCAGCAGTGTATGACTGAGATCCTTTACTCAGAAGCAATGAGATATTAGCCAGGGCAACATAAATTTCAGCAGTGATCATTCTTCTAACATCTTTGCCAAGACATTAAAATACTATCTGTGGTCGACCTGAGTTGCCCAAGCTTTGTAATGGATATCATTGTCCAATAAATAGGAGTTTACAATTTAAAAAAGAATACCTCTTGTTGTGAATATTCCTTATATTACACATTCTCTCTCAATATTATGGAAGTATACTTTAGAGAATCATAATGAATCCTGTAGAAAGAGAAGCAGCATACGTGCATTCCATAAATCACACTTACGGGGACTGCATAGGATCAAAGTGGGGTTGGTTGGTAAAACTGGAGTAGCAGTTTGCCCCATCACTCAGAGGGGTGTGAAGATTAGCACTAGCTCATGTCCAGGCACTAAGCCATAGGGGTAGCATGATTAGGCCAATAAAGGATATAATCTCATAGTGACACTAAACATCTAGCTCTGTCAGCTGAAAAAGGCATCTGTCCCATGTCACCCAAAGAGCCCGACTGCTAGAGAGTCCAATCATCCCAGTTTACCAGGGACTGTCCTGGTATTGGCCCTGAGAGTCTCACATCTGGAAACCCCTCAGTCCAGGCAAATTGGGATCATTGGTCACCTTGCACTGCAGGCGGAAACAGGAGCCGCAGGTAGTTCTTCTTTTCCTTCCTTGACATTTAGATGCCACGAATTCCAGGTTTAAAGCCCTGCGAATTTTCTTGACTTAAAAGGAATAGAAAACTGAAAACCTTTAAGAGGCTTTCTGCTGACTTTAAGGGATATTTTCAGGGTGCCATGTGCGCATGCTATGCTTATGTATAGAATTGACACAGTGTTTCCCAATTATGTGCAATTACTCTGGAACTTTCATGGGGTCATATATGCTATTTAAACCCCAAATCTAGATGATCAGAATTGTGTCTTCATAGGTAGGGAAGGGTTGAGGTAATTCTCTGGATAATTTAAGTTAAAGAGAGGTATTGGTTGGGAGAATAAGTTTCTTAGGTCAGCATTAACATGATTTTCTAGTTAATTCAAATATAGTTTGTATAATAGTTTTTAAGTTCTTCATTTCTTTTTGTTTAAAAATTTATATTTCCTTAAAATTTTTCTTCCCGAAAAGAAAATCATATATATGCTACACTTTCCAAATTGTGGATGATTGGTGAGGGAAGACATTTTCAGGTTGATGTAGAAAACAGTTTTAAAAGGCTTTAACAGAAGGTCAGATTCTCTTTAAACCAGATAATTTTATTCTGGGCTATTTTCTTTCCCTGGCTGTTCACAGTGTACCACCTCTCATGGAGTTCTCTTTATCCCCAGGTCTTGGATTTGCACTTTGTTACTCCCCAGCTATTGCCATGGTTGGCAAGTATTTCAGCAGACGGAAAGCCCTTGCTTATGGGATCGCCATGTCGGGAAGTGGCATTGGCACCTTCGTCCTGGCTCCTGTGGTTCAGCTCCTTATCGAACAGTTTTCCTGGAGGGGAGCATTACTCATTCTTGGGGGCTTCGTTTTGAATCTCTGTGTTTGCGGTGCCTTGATGCGGCCAATTACTCTTAAAGAGGACCATACAACTCCAGAGCAGAACCATGTCTGTAGAACTCAGACACGAGACTTTAAGAGAGTGTCTCCTTGTACAACTTTGACCAACAAATGGGTGCAGACCTGCCTTTGCTGCTCTTTGCAGCAGGAATACAGTTTTTTACTGATGTCAGACTTTGTTGTGTTAGCCGTCTCTGTTCTGTTTATGGCTTATGGCTGCAGCCCTCTCTTTGTGTACTTGGTGCCTTATGCTTTGAGTGTTGGAGTGAGTCACCAGCAAGCTGCTTTTCTTATGTCCATTCTTGGGGTGATTGACATTATTGGCAATATCACATTTGGATGGCTCACCGACAGAAGGTAAAATCTGTGAAACCACAATTGGTTCCCCACTAGGGGACTTGAAGTTTTGAGTTTCCCCTCATCCCCTTACCCTGTAGAATACCTAGGTCTGAATAATAACAAGTTTTCAATATCTGAAGGCAAGTCCCTTGCTGGTTCTTCTAGTCAGAGATCAGCAGGGTTTTTCTGTAAAGGGATAGAGGTAATTATTTTTGGCTTTGTGGGCCATGTGATCACAACTACCCAACTTTGCTGTTGTAGCACAAAAGCAGCCATAGACAATATGTGAACAAATGAGAATGGCTATGTTCCAATAAGACTTTATTTATGGACACTGAAATTTGAATTTCTCATGTAATTTTCACATCACAAAATATTATTGTTATTTTGATTTTTTTCCAACCATTCTAAAATGGAAAAACCATTCTTAGTTCACAGATAGTACAAAAAACAGATGGTGGGCCAGATTTGGCTATAATTTACCAACCCCTGTTCTAGATGGTTTAAGGATGATGGGTGTGTCTAAACTGTAGAAGCCTAGGGTAAGTACAAGTTCTGGTGACAAATTTAATTTCATCATAAGTTGAGTCAGTCCTCGGGTAAGATGACTTCTGGCTGGGTGTTGTGGTGTTAGTTTCTTTTGAACTATCTCAGAGACTGGCTGGCAATGGAGAGAGGAGCAGAATTCAGTCCAAGCAGAAGGATTGGGTATAGTAATAACATATTATCTTTAGCCACATATTTATGTTTGACACTGCATATAGCAAATGCTTCATTATAATTTTAGGCTTAGAAACCAAAGTTATAAGAAATCTACTGAGTAGTTTCTTCAGTTAACGCTTACCTCTTTGGATTGAGGAGAGAAAGTCACTCATATTCTCCTAAATGATGGACTCGTCACACTTGATCTATGACCTGGGAGAGCTATCATTGTGTGGCTTCTCACACATTATGTCTTTGGTAATTAATCAGGATCCAACTGCCATTCTCCAGTGTTATGAATACAATATTAAGGGTTAATTCCACCCTTGGCTAAAGAAGAAATGGGAGAGCAAGAGCTTCTATCTTTACAATCAAATAACTCAACGAGAAGCAGCCTGGTGTAGGTCCGATAGAGGGATCTCTAGTCTGAGATATATAAAACCTAAGTTCTTGGGCTGGCTCTGCCCCTTATTACCCCTGTGACCTAGGGAAAATCTCCTAACCCTCAGATCCTCAAAGGTGTTCATCTACAAAATAGGCCAGAGCAATGTTTGCCGTTGACCTCATAGCATTCTGAGACTGGGTGGAAAATGTTTGTAAAGCATAAACTGCTGGTGCAAGACCCTCATAATCTCTGGAAAATCATTTTAATGTCTTCATATTTCAGCTTCTCCTTTATTTAACCACTTGGGTTATTGAGCTTCTATCATGTACCAGATGCCAATGGATAATATATCTGAAAGTATCTAATATGGTAGACTGCTAGAAATTATTCGTCTCTACATGTTATTTTACGACTATCTTTAGAGTAACTCTGTGAGATAGACAACCTTCTCATTTTATAGATAAAGAAAAAGAGGTTAGAGTTAGGCAGTTAGTAGATGATAGAACTGGATTCAAACTTCTACCTTTCTAATTTGAGAGCATATATTGCTTTCTACCACACCATGTTTCCTGGGGAGATAAATTCTTGCATTTGTGTATACCAAAAGGAAGATAGGCAGACAACATAGATACACAATGGGGACGCCATCTCTATAAATAACTGCAATTCTTATTTCTGCATGGTCATGGTTCTAAAGCTCTTTGATAGAACCTGTACATACTGCACTCATTCTTGTTCTTCAAATCCACAGGTGTCTGAAGAATTACCGGTATGTTTGCTACCTCTTTGCCGTGGGACTAGATGGGCTCTGCTATCTTTGCCTCCCAATGCTTCAAAGTCTTCCCCTGCTCGTGCCTTTCTCTTGTACCTTTGGCTACTTTGATGGTGCCTATGTGACTTTGATCCCAGTAGTGACTGCAGAAATAGTGGGGACTACATCTTTGTCATCAGCGCTTGGTGTGGTGTACTTCCTTCATGCAGTGCCATACTTGGTGAGCCCACCCATCGCAGGTAAGTTTCTAGAGAAACCCCCAACCTCTTCCCTTTGTCATATGGACAATGGAATAGAACAGCTGTTCAGACTTATAATTGGGTACATTCAGAGGGATGTCTGGCAGGAGTACAGGATTCCAATAGGGGACAGTGGGTGGTGAAGCTGAAATAATAAGTGGGAGTGTCATCATGGAGTGTCTTGAGTGGCAGCCAAAGGAGCTAGAGCCCTATATTCTTCAGAGACTATGGATAGTATTGCAGTTTTTGTGCAAAAGGGTAATATTATTATTGCACAAAGGGCATAATCTGCTCACTGCAAGACAAAAGCCAATCTCAAGAGGCAAGATGGTGGCCAAGAAAGGGCATTTTATTACAGCTTGTTAGCAAGAGGGAAGATGGCCAACTAATGTCCAAAATAACCATCTTAAGGGGGGCAAAGAATCTTGAAGCAGTTATATAGGCCAATGGGTTACAGGGGAGGGGTTTAGGAATCTTGACCCTCTGGTGTTACAGATTGGGAGTTGCCACACCAGATCTTTCAGTTTTCATTGATGATGGCTATCAGCATAGACCCTCTTTGGGGGGTCATCACATTCCTAAGGATCTCGAAAGAACAAAGTTATAATCTTAAAACAGCTGGGAAGTATATGCACTAGCAGGGGTCATAACATCTAAAGAACAGGTGGATCTCCTGGAGGCTGCAAATCCAGGTGGGTTAGCTAGTCAGAGGTCATTCAAAGTTATGACGTGGTCTCTTTTCTACAATGTGGCTTCACTTATGTCAACCTTGTGTTGAGCGAGTTTCAATATGGTAAAAAGTGTATTTTAGAAAATGTGATCTAGCAATTGATCTGCTACTTTAGGGGAGAAGCAGTCAGGATTCCGTTCTAATAGTTCAGGAGTGAACTGATAAAGTCCTAAACTAGGGCAGCTGCAGCACAAATGGAAATGAGCTCTAGGGGCAAGGAGGACGTTTTGGGAAAAAATATCAACTGAATTTAGCATATGGAGGTGAAGGAGGGGAAAACGTCAAAGATAACTTAGAAAATAATGGCAAGGTTGAAAAGAATAAGGAAGTTGGAGAAAGTGGCTTTGCCAGAAAAATAATGAATATAATGTTTGGACATATTCAGCTATCTGAAATACCCAATAAAATGCCCAATAGAACTTTAGAGGGAGGCCAGATTTGGATATACAGATTTTGGAATCATTGAGATAAAGCATCTAGAATGTTTTGTAAACTGTAAAATGCTATAGAAATTTAAAGCTTGATTAAACGAGTAATTCAACAAATATCTATTGCTTGTGTACACCAGCATTGTACTTGGTGCTGTCCGTAGAGCAGCAAACAGGTCAGAACCCACCCCTCCTTCCTGGAGTATGTGGTCTAGTCCGGTGTCTCTCAGGTGGTGGGACCACCTGCATCAAAATCTGCTGGAACCTTTGTTAAAATGCAGTTTCCTTGACCATTCTGCTGTGATTTGAATTTCGGGGGGTGACTTCCAGCAATCTGCATTCTCAACCAGCCGTCTTGTGATACGGATGCACACTAAAGGTTGACAATAACTGGTCCAGATTATTACCTGCCTCAATTAAAACCAAGAGAGACAAGAAGGTCTCTAAAGACAGGCAAAAGAGAAATGAGCCAAACATTTGCCTGGAAGGAAGGAAAGGAACTTTTTGAAGAGGCAGATTTCTGCTTTAGCTGCTGTTGGGATTAGACAGTTCAGGGTTATTTCTAAACCCCAGCATTTGCTGAAACAGCAAACTAGGGGAAACTGGGGCTGCCTGACGGCTGCTGATGAAAATTCCTGGTCAGTTTAAACTCATGATATAGGACTACATGTTTAGTGCTTCATTTTTGGAAACTGCCCCCAAAATGTTCCAACATCCTCCCTCCATAGCTAATTTTTGTGTTTAGGAGCAGTGTAATTCTGTTAAAAAGTCATAGGACATAAATGTAATTGGGATTCCTCGATCCTTTTTTCAATCCATGGCCTTCATTTGGCAAAGCAGACATTATACTCACTGCTAGGTATTAGAGGATTAGGGTATAAGTTAATACTTCTCTTATTTAATTAGCTCTAAAATGAAGACTCTACTCAGTCTCTTCTGTTTGGTGCTACAGAAATGCAGAAGTAAATTACATGATAACTAAAATATTTGAGAGTAGTTTGGATTTCAGGAAACTTTGTGGGGCTTATAACAATTCCTGCATGCCATTTTTGACCAATGGAGTTGAAGAGGGTGAGAGGAGAAATCATATACTTCTCTGGTGGATTTTCCTGGTGTACTGTCTTGGCATATAAATAAAGTTTGAAAGAATTTTTTTAAAACTTTTTAATCACAAAATAAGTGCCTGCCAAGGTCTAATTTTACCCCATTGATTCTCTCATCATTATGGCCCATACTTTGCATATCATATGTCCTGGTTCTCCTCAAAATTTAGAGCTGGAATAGATATTAAGATTAATTTGTTGTGGGGCTGGCCCGGTGGCACAGTATTTAAATGCTCACGTTCTGCTTCAGCAGCCCAGGGTTCACTGGTTTGGATCCCGGGTGTGGACATGGCACCATTTGGCAAGCCATGCTGTGGTAGGCGTCCCACATATAAAGTAGAGGAAGATGGGCATGGATGTTAGCTCAGGGCCAGTCTTCCTCAGCAAAAAGAGGAGGATTGGCAGCAGATGTTAGCTCAGGGCTAATCTTCCTCAAAAAAAAAAAAAAAGATTAATTTGTTGCAACAAGAGATAAAGGAAAAAAAGCTGTGATTACAGAATTATGCCTTGTGAAGTCTGCATTTGCAACTTCTAAGATGGCCCAAACTTGTGATTTTCGAGGGTACAATGACTGGATTCAATTGAAAATTTGAATTCTGCTTTATCCAGAAGCATGTTATGTCATTCAAGATCGACAGTATACGGGTGCTGGGAATACTATTAGCCTTCTGGATGATTATATTCTCTTAACTTCCTAGATAAATGATCCCAATGTCAATAATTTGAATGATGCTATTTTTATCTTCTCTACCATATTTCATGGGATTAATAATAACTAATATTTATTGTATGATTACTAAGACTGTGACACTCCTCCAAGCATTTTACAAAATAACAACAATCCATTTTAGAAGTTTCTCTAGAAAAATAAAATGTATTTTTCAGTTGCTGCACAATATTTTTAAGAGAGGTGCTTTTTGTGTCAAAATCGTAATGGTGGTACTAGCAATCTACTGTTATTATCCTTACAAATTATTAGATTTGAGAGTAGGTACATAATTGAATTTTCAACTCAACAATATAATTTTGCTGTTGTTTGTTCCAGGCTGGCTTGTAGATGCGACTGGCAGCTACACTGCAGCATTTCTTCTCTGTGGATTTTCAATGATATTTAGTTCTGTGTTGCTTGGCTTTGCTAGACTTGTAAAGAAGATGAGAAAAACCCAGCTGCGGTTCCTTGCCAAAGAATCTGATCCCAAGCTGCAGCTGTGGACCAATGGATCGGTGGCTTATTCTGTAGCAAGAGGATTAGATCAGAAAGATGAGGGGTCTGTGGCTATGGCAGTGCCTGGTTACAACCCCACATGACCAACAGCCTTGAGCCTGGGCACCTTCAGGTCTGAGAGAGGTGGGACCACTGGATTGTACAAGTTTTTAAAGCATTTTATTTTGGCAGAAGCATTGCTTTCCGAGGAAATTATTATTATTGTTTTGTTAACATATTTGTAGGGGAAAACAGAAAATAACAAAGCAAATTGGACTGGCTCAGAGTTTTCTCATTTGAGATTTGTACTCAAAATTGAACTCACATCTTTCAGGCAATAAGCATCACTCCACAGAGAATGTTAGGCGATAGCTGATATAATTTTCTGTAATTAGGGGTAATTTCAAGACATGACCAAAACAGATGCCACTGGGCAGCAGCTTTGTCTCAAACTCTCTGCCCCTCCATCCTCCCTTCTCAGTTAGAAGGTAAAAAGAAACATTGGTGTGTAGGTTTGCTTATTTTGTGCTGTTTGGAGAAGGGGAGTCTGCAATAATTGTTGCCTTTTCAAGAATAAAAAGTATTCTTCAACAACCCTATTTAAAGTCCTAATGAGAAACTCCACTATGAAAAAGCTTTGCCATCGTCATCTTCCACCACCACTGAAAGCTCTTTGCATAAGACTGAGGCTCATCTTTGACAAGGGGCTCACCTCTATCACATACAATACTTACTCTAAATTTATCAGGACACACCAAATCACAGGGCAATTTCTAAATCTTACCTGAAATGTTAACACCAACACTTCCCTGTTTTTCTTTAGAAATAAAGCTTTTATTTAAATTGCAGACACATTCCTGTTAGGAACAGAAAAATGTTGGCAGTATTCCAACTGGGCAGAAATTGAATTCTTGAATCAGCAGGTCTCTGATTAGAGTTTTCTTTTCAGCTCAGATACTTAGGTTCATCATTACCCAAAACAGGACTTGGAGTTTTGCCTGAAAAATATTATTCTAGAGATGTTCTAAAGGTGAGATTCTTTTCTCCCCGTGTTAATTCTTGTTCCAGGGTCCACTCCTCTTCATCTCTTTATGAATAATCACTAGAAACTTGGTGAACTTTTTCATCTGAATGAGAAATCTTCATGGGTTAACCTCAGCATCATAGCACTCTCATAAATTACAGCTTTGGTTAGAGGAGATGGAGGAGAAGGTTAAGAGGACTAGTGGTGTGATGTTTTACAGTTTATAAAACTTTCACCTACCTAACTCATTGGATTAGACTAGTTTACTCAATCCCAACTACTCTACTTTGGTAGAGCAGTATGGTTTCAGATAATTTCCCAGTCTTCAGATTGAAGAGGGAGGGCATGGGGAGAGAAGAGAAAGGCCAGATCCCACAGCCTGTCTCCAACTATTTTAAATCCACAGAATTGCAATTCTGAATGCCAAATCATGTTGCACCTATAAATAGGGGCAAGTTATACAATTGAAAGGAGGGTTTAATTATTCAAAAACTTAAAATCTGAACCTCAAGGAAATATTTTGACCCTGAAGGCTATTTAATCCACTGTCCCCTGGGAGACTTCACAGATGCCCTGCCAGGGGTCCTGAGAGAAAAAACACAGCAATGAGGAAGATCCTGGGTTGACTGAGCATGTCAGCAGAATGTTTGCCTATAAATGGACTATTTCATAAAATTACATAGTCATACATTGCTTTCATTATGAAATACTGACTTGATGTGATGGGAGAATACTGTAATATTTACAGTTGTTTTCCAGAGAGAAATTTCAATGTTACCTGTTATCTTTTTACTTAGTTTGAGAATTTAATTTTGAACCTATTTACTTTGTCATTTTTAAATTTAAAAACAGCATTTGGAAAATATCTGTAAAAAGTCAAAGTTAAAATGAAGTTTTATGTGTTTGGAATAGCACTTTACACTAAATGTCATTTCTTGAATGTTCAAGTCTAAAGATTTTTGGAAATATAAATAGTTATAAATATTCATATACATATTTTTCCTAGTGATGATCACAGCAAAATTTTGTTTATCTAGTTCTGCAGTATAATTTCTCTAAAGTATTATAAGTATTCATGAAAAATAAGCATAGCGATCAGAGCTTTTAAAAATTTGTATAAAATATCTTGGATATTTTGACTTTATACATGCATAAATTTGTATTTTACTTTCCTTTTTGGAGCAGCAGTTTTAGAAAACCAGTAAGGAAAATGTAGATCGTAGAGTCTACTATTGTCATCTACACAAAATTTTACTGTTAAGGTTCCACGTGCCTATACTGTTTATTTCAAAATGGAGGGATTCATGGGAATAATGTATTTTATGGAATCAGAACACAATTGTGGTGGGATGAATATACATCTTAAATATTTCTTTATAGCACTGCAAGCTCTGCTTTGAAATTGACTGAGTAAAAAAGCAAAAGAAACTATTTAACTTCTGTGGAAACACTGTACCACTGGGCCTTTTTTCATATTGTGATTTCAACTAATAGATCAGATATTTATGCTAATATTTTCTTATTTCAAAAGCATAATAAAATGAGTTTATAGTCATCTATGGAAAAGCATTTTTCCCCTGCACAAGGGGTTTGGATTGGATGGTGAGTGGGCCCATCTGGATCATGCTAATGTAGCTGGCATATAAAGATGTGGTAAGCAATCAAATAATTTACAAAAACCAAAACCATTTTGAGTACTTCCAATGTGTTAGCCACTGTGCTAAGCGCTTCCTCTGCATTGGCTCATTTAATCCCCGTAATAACCTATATTATCATAATTTTAGAGATGTGGAAACTGAGAGACCAGGTCCCACAGTGAGTGACTCAGTAGCCACTGCACTCCAGTGCCTCTGGTGAAATCCCATCAAACTAGGAAGCTATCTGATGCTTGAGCCTGCCTCCTTCCCTTTGTGCCTACCTGGATCATCTTCTTATGTGGGTTCAAGAAGCCATTTGGAAACAGGCGCTCCCTCGGGCAGATAAAATCCTTTGGATTATGCTTTTTTCTTCCATTTAATATTGATGGGAAGATTCTAGATTGGAAACTTCCAAGAGTTTTCCCAAGAGTTTGGTTCTATCAAGACCACCACTGCCAGACTAAGTGGTTTAATTTGCTGTATGTTGATCCAGGCTTCTCTTTGGGAGCATTTGTGTGTATGTGTGAGGGGAAGTTTGGGAAGCACACTTTGTTCCAAAAGGGAGTTCCACCTTCTACATTACCAAAGTCATGCTTTCTCAGTCAGGTGTTGGGTTCTTTCTGAAGTGCCTGCACCTTTGACCAGTGATGATGAAGATGGTAATGTCTATTTGGCACTCATCTTCCAATAGGTCCACTTCTGCAATTGTTTATTGACATGAAATAATGTGAATTCAAGGTGGATATCTGAGTTTCTCTGCTCATACTTCAAAGTTTGAGCTTTTTTTTTTTTTTTTTTAACTCTACCAAACAATAGATTTTTATACTTGTTGCCAAAGCAGCTACCACTGAGAGGTGACTGGGATTTTGTCCCATAGCAGAGAAATATTTGGTGGGGGGAGTGGGAAAATATTAAATAACGATAAAAAGGCTGACATTTAAAACAAAACATTTTGTTATGGAACTTATCAAAGATGTACAAAAGTAGAAAGAAAAGGAACGTGAACCTGACGTACCCATCCCAAAGATCTACAATTATCTATCCATTACCCTCCTCTTTGATGAACCTATTTGACATATATTAACATGTTGATAGGACATGTCTTCCTTCAGCTTTCAAGGAATAACTGAACTTGGCAAGCACAATTTGTTCAGGCTAGCAGAAGGTATGGGTGGTTAGCATCACTTATTAATGGACTACATCATCACTTACAAAGCTAACTGGGGCTTCTTTCTTGCTGTGGGCTTTGGGTGTCTGAATTGCAGGTTAAAACCCTTCCTCCTTCTCCCCCAGTCCCTATGTGATCTATCTACCTGAAGCCTAAGGAATGTCAAATAAGTGAGAAGTGCTTTTGAATTCCTGATGAGAGTGATCATTATTACTCTTACTATAACTCTTAATTATTTAAGTGTCACAGGCCTCTCTGAGGGGTCTGGGACTTAGCATTGGTGTAAAGTTAAATGAAAAGCACTGTATTTTTGTGGAGTTAATGTATGGTCCACTTAAGATTTGAATTGACATTAAAAGGTATTAAAATTAGTATTTGAAAATGCAGTCCTTTTAAAGTATTCCCATAAAATTGTTTCTTTTTTGATTGTAAGTTAGGTCTTTTCCCACTCACAGATGTAATAATGGAAGAATTAGAGGTCCCAACCTTAGGAAAGGTGAAGACCTATTCTGATTCCTGGAGATCTTGTCTTTACAATTGGGCCCTGAACAGAGTCTGGGTCAGTTTCAGGGCGAGGAAGAAGCCGTGAGCAAGGAAAAGGGATGTGCAGCTACCTGAGGTTCCAGGGGACACCAGAGGCCTCTGGGTCTCTAAATTTGCCCAAGCAGAGATGGAATAATTTGGACATCTTACTCTGACTTCTAAAGTTCAAACAGGGAAGGATAAAGTCTTTTTTAGAATCACAAAAGTTACAGGTCTGTTGTGAGCATGCAGTACCCACATTGGAATATGGCCTACAAGGTCTGCAGGGTGTAGCTCCTACCTAACTTCTAAACTTCATGCTGGGCTACACTCCTCCCACTCACCACACTGCAGCACCCCGTTCTGTAGGTTCCCCAGGTCCTTTTGCGTATGTTGATCCCTCAGTATACCCATTTCTCATCTTTTGGGCCACAGTTTAAATGTCACTTCTCTAAAGAGTGCATCTTTAACCACTGCCCCCATCTAAATTACGTATCCCCACCATCACCATCCACATTACTTGTTCTCATAACACCCTGTTCTTTTCCTTCAAAGAACCTATTTTAATTGTAATTACACATTAATTTGTGTGTTTATTTTAAAATGTCGTCTCCTCCACAAAACCACAAACTTTCCGAGGATAGGGATCACACTGACTTACTCATTACTGAGTCCAATGCCTAACACATAGCAGGCACTCAATAAATACCTGGTGAATGAATAAATGAATGAAAAGAACATTTGAAAAAAAGAATGAAAAAACTTCTGAAGAGAAATGTAACACAGCAAGGATGGGGCTGATTGAAGAGTCAAGTTTGCCTGAAGTTGCCCTTGAATGGATAGAATATGTTAGATGTTCCCAATGCAGCAGGCCTAAATAGGACACCTGGTGAGAAGCATCACATAAATAGCAGGAGCTCCAGAGCATTGAGTATCATGGGGTAGGTTTGGGGAAGGGAATAAAAGTGGCAAAGAGAAGAATTGGTAGAAATATATTAACTATATCTTTTAATTGAGACCTGAATGTAAAAATGATATGACTGTGTTCAACCCAGACAGGCTTAATTAAATAGCTCTTTTGTGCTCAAATGACTGGAAGGCCCAGAGATGGGGCACTGATCACAAAGGGAGCCCTGGAACATTGGGAAAAGGTGGAACACATATGAATCATGTACAAAAAGATGGAGTTTCAGTTACAGGCACCACACAAGCTGCTTTTACACAAAAACTGTATGCCAGGGTTTGGTCAGGAGCACAAGTCCCTTACTAGCGTCTTTTGTTCAGTCCTATGGCTGCCCTCTTAACTGAGAGGGCATTATTGAAGATTAGCATGCTGGCAACATTTTTGAGTTGGTGAGAGGAGTTAATAAACCAACAACTATTTATTAAGGACCTTATTTGAATCTGGCACCATGTTATGTATGGTGGGGAATTTAAAATACACATACCATTCTCTCCAGGATTTCAAGTTTACTGCCTAATTGGTAAATTGAAACTAAATTCTCACAGGTGAGACCACCACCATGAAGTTGTTCAACGCTGACCTGAGGCTAAGCGCACTGCAAACTCTGGGGATTAGGAGAGGAAGAATTCATTATGGGCTGGTGAAATTTGAGGTGGTTCTGAGGAACCCAGGTATGGGATTGAATGGGTTAGAATCAGCCTCTACTCTTTTCAGAGGAAGAAGCTGGGAGTAGGGGAAAGGGATGTGGGGCAGCCGCTTCATGTGGCTACCTGAGGTCCCAGCAGATACCTAAGGCCAATACAGAACCAAACACAAGTTGACACTAATAAGTGTTCTGGAGCAGGCATCCATAAGGGTGTCTGGGACTTTTGGGGTTGCTGGGATTTGGAGTTGCATTTGGCTTCTCTAAATTGAAAACAGAAACTTTCAGGGCACGGGGTTATACTTCGGTATTCATCTCTCAACTCTAAAAAGGAATCATTTGTAAGTTTAAAGAGTCCAGAGCTTTGGAGAACTTTTTTTTAAATTGACATATTATGCAGCACTGCCATCTGCTGGAATTAGTGAGACTGCTTCCCAAAAGCAGGTGACACCTCCAATTATTTTTCAAGTGGACAAGGCCAGCCTTAGGACAAACATTAAAGTTTGCTATTGTTTCTTTCTCTTCCTGCCCCCAGTGCCTGTTCATTACCCATCCCACATTTATCCTCTTCCTCTTGCAAGTATAAATATAGGATAAAGATGCTGTGTTGTATTTTTCAGCATTTTGATTGCCTTAGTCAGTTCTCTATGTGGAGTATCAAAGTTAATATGAATGATGATTTTGATTGGCTAGACTAAGGATAGTTATTGGTAAATTTTAATGTAAAAAAATTTTCTTCGGAGTCCTCTGCCTTCTTTGGGAACCCAGATTGTCATTTTGGGTCCCATTCTTGGTCCCTTATTAATGTGTTAATTGATTTGATATGAATTGATAAAAACTTAAAGTGTAAGACACAGAATCTCAAACACATATTAGAGGTCAAATTTTGAGAAATGTTGAAATAAAATGATATAGAGAATTTGGAATTTGGAAATATAAAATTTGGAAATATAAAACATCATGCTTATTATAGCGTACACAAATTATAATAGGTTTAGTGATTGAATTTACTTTAAAATGTGTAATTCCTGTGAAATTGTAAGGGGATGCTTTTTATTTATAACAACAATTGCCTTCAAAGGAGAGTGTATTGTGTTAAAATGAAAGACCCTTTTGTTGAACTAAGCAACTTGATGAATTTGGTTATGTATAAGTGAGTCTGTGGCTGAGTATGAAGATAAGCGTTGGAGAGGGGCCGGCCCAGTGGCGCAGTGGTTAGGTTCGCACCTTCTGCTTCTCAGTGGCCCGGGGTTCACCAGTTCAGATGCCGGGTGCAGACTTGGTACTGCTTGGCAAAAGCCATGCTGTGGTAGGCGTCCCACATATAAAGTAAAGGAAGATGGGCATGGATGTTAGCTCAGGGCCAGTCTTCCTCAGCAAAAAGAGGAAGATTGGCAGTAGTTAGCTCAGGGCTGATCTTCCTCAAAAAAAAAAGAGTTGGAGAGAACTGAATTGCTCTGTTTAAGGAAAATAGAGGAATTGTTTCTTATTTCAGAGAGAGAAGAGTAGAGTTAGGGAAAGAGGTAAAGCCCAGAATCATGGAAAGAGGCAGGAATATCAAGAAATGGTTGAGGATCGGGGCCAGCCTGTGGCCGAGTGGTTGAGTTTGCGTGCTCCACTTT